ACCCAAATATCTTAACGCCGTGCTACCACCAGAACAAGATCGTGGGTCTGGGTCCTATGAACCCCACCCGGAACGTCACCTACAAAATGATCCGCGACCTCTTCAGCGAGGTACAGAGCTGGTTCCCAGACAAGTATCTGCACATCGGCGGGGATGAGGTCGAGATAGACTGCTGGTAAACTGAACTTAGTTAAATAAAACGAAATATAATTACTATATTAGCGAATAGAATTGTTGTGAAAACTGTCAAGAAGCATTGTTTATCCGTTTTATGGTGATCTGTAAATCAGCTCTGAGCCGACTGAACAGTTCAAGTCTGATTTGTGACTGTCCTCAGGCGGTCGAACCCAGAGATCCGCGAGTATATGCAAGAGAATGGGTTGTTGGTTGGGGAGCTGCACGCTCTTTTCATGCAGAAAACCATACCTCTGCTCGCCGATGGATCCAAGATCGTCGTCTGGCAAGTGAGTACCAATGGAGTCCGGAACTCCTACGACGCTTATAAAGCTAACTTCTTCACCGTATATTTTGTACTAAACATTTTTTGTGTTTTGTCCCACATACTTCAAATCATTTAATTTTCACCCAGCTCTCCTCCGAGCGCACGAGGAAAATTTTTTATAGCGAAAATAACCCATGTTGGCTTGTGTCAAATCTTAAAATATTTCGCCGATTATATTGAAACGAAAACAAATTTAACAGGATTTATGAATCATTTATTGTTAATTTATGAATTTGTTATATTTTGCGGTTTTTAGCGCACGAAATAAAGACGAACCGCCACCGTACACGATGCACAAAATGTAACTAACGGGGTTTAAATTATCTTTCTTGTACTCCAGGAAGTGTTTGATGAAGATGTTCCTTTGACAAGCGACACACTCGTCCAAGTTTGGAAGAGTATGTGGATCGATGAAATGGTGAAGGTAATATTATTATAAACTTAATCATATCGAATTTAAAGAATCATGAAATAGTAAGTTTTCTTTATGTAGTATTGATTCACGTGTATACACATGTATGTTTGTATCTGTTAATAGGTTTTGGAGGCTGGAGGCCGCGTTCTTTTCTCGTC